CAACATTTGTAAACATATCAGTGACAGCTAGGAAAAATAATCTTGATCCGAACAGCTGTTCGTTATTTCATAGATGATTATGCAATAAAAATTGGACGAAAACTTGACATAAATCGCACAAAACTACATTTTTGAACGTTTGTAATATTATTTACAAAGTAGTGAGGCCATATTTTAATGGCTAAAGACAATCTTGCCAATCCAGTGAATACATTAAAATGACTTGGATCTTGATAGGTACTCTCGTTTTCCAGGAGAAGATAGCGTAAAATGCCATCTTGAGTGTTACAGACAAAGGGAAAGACAGACAGACAGACAGAAATTGAGATAAGACTCGTTTCTGCTTATTTAATGTATAAGACGTAAAAATAACCTAAAAATATATAATTCTGAGCAATGTACAGACAAAACTCTAATTTTATTTATATAGATAAACAGAATAAATAACGTTCACGCCTATAAATATAAAAGTTTTTAGGCGTACCTACCACCACGTGAGCACAAAACAATATACAGCTGTCCGTGTGAAAAGCATGCATTTCCTAAATTTAAGCCGGCGATAATTAGGGATTGGCCTTGTGCCTAATATTGGTGATTGCGAAAGCAAGACACAAAGGAAATTGTAGTCACTTGAATTCAAAGGGTAATTTGGATGAAATCATCGGTATTCTTGGGTATAAGACTATTTCTCCTTTAACCTTACCACTGATGATTGTTGCTTCGATCAAGTTTGGTGCCATTTTTTTAATCGTCAGTCTGGTTCCGTCGCACAGCTTGGGCGGATTCAAGTTTTGCATTAGTATTATTGGAGTTCCTTCTTTTAATGACAATAATATGGTGGGTTAGTGACAAATTGGGAGGTATTTGAACTGTCAAGATGGTTTTAGTGCTAACAGCTTGAAACTAAATAGTTCAAAGACACAAATAATAAACTTTCAAACAATGCAAAATAAAACACTTGTCTCGTTTGATTTACCCTATGATGGAGTTGTTTTGTCACTTATAAAAGCCACAAGTCTTTTGAGCATAAACATAGACCAAAATGTAACCTGGAGTCTTGATTTCCTCACCATTTAATAGTTGTTTGCAAAAACATTAAGGATTCTCCGAATTTATAGTCATAAGTCATACGTCGTTTATCTTGTTCGCTGCTGACCGCTAGATGCCGGGACGGCGCCAGGATAATAATAATAATAAATAATAATAAATCTTTATTTCTCCACAAGTAATACAATAAAATTACAAAGATCTATAAAAACAAATTATTTTACAATGTAATCAAAACTTATTGTTAATTAATTAAATAAAAACAGTTTGCTTTAACTTGCGAAGAAATATACACACCCAAAGAAGATTAAAACTTCTGTGTGTGGGCGGGAGTCTCAACTAATACTTAACAATATCAAAAGATTCTCTGAAAAGGGTAACAAAATGAATTATAAATTTAATTTACCTTTAGTCCAATAGCTTTTGTGGAAAAGACAACAAAGAAAACATAATTCACCAATATCTAGGAAGTAAAACGAAAATTATGTAACTATAATAATGAGAACATTTTAAGAAATTGAAGAAAACAATGAAAACCCAGACTCTGAAATACAGATACTTACAAAGATAAAGCAAATACTCTGAGCTAGACATGACTTGCTAATTTTATTAAGAATACAACTGTTCTATTTCATCATATGACTTGGTTAATAGCCACTTTTTCAAAGATTTCTTAAAAACACTAAATGACCTACTCTGCTTTACAGATTCAGGAATGACATTAAAAATTTTAATTGATAAATAAATAAAACACTTCTTAAACAGGGTACAGTTTGGTTTGGGTAAACGTAGAATGTTTTGCGCAGTTTGTCTAGTTGAATAATTGTGAATGTTATCAACTGTTGGTCCTGCATTACCACTATTTGAAAAATATAGTCAATACTTTAAAAATATACAGGGTGATTGATATAAGTGTGCCAGCCGTTTTATTCGAAAACTATAAGAGATATCAAAAAAAGTTAAAAGGTAAGTGCCTTGGATTTTTTATTAAAAAAATTATAGTCAAGTCAAAAAAATTATTTTAGCCGCCATTTTTCCAATATGGCCGCCAACTTTGATTTTTCTTATGGAACACCCTGTATTTTATGATGTATTCTGATAGAAAAAGTAATTTTAAGACGATTTTATTCTTGTGATTTTTTTCATAAACCTAACCGTTTCAATGATAATAATGGTTTAAGTTGTGCAATTTTGAATGGTTTTCGAGCAAAACGGGTGGCATGCTTGCTTAGGCCTTTATCGAAACTCTTTCTCATGCAGAAATTTCAAAACTTTAACCATTATTATCTTCAAAACGGTTAGGTTTATGAAAAAAATCACAAGAATAAAATCGTCTTAAAATTACTTTTTCTACCAGAATACATCATAAAATACAGGATGTTCCGTAAGAAAAATCAAAGTTGGCGGCCATATTGGAAAAATGGTGGCTAAAATAATTTTTTTGTTTTTTTAAATAAAAAATCCAAGGCACTTACCATTTAACTTTTTTGATATCTCTTATAGTTTTTGAATAAAACGGCTGGCACACTTATATCAATCACCCTGTATAAATATCTGAAGGGAAGGATATTATGAATTACAAATAAAGGTAGAGAATGAGAATAAAAATTTACATTACATATTAATCTGACAAATTTCTTCTGTAAAGTTATTAAAGATTTTAAATTCGACACATAGGCACCTCCATACAAAGAAATTCCATATTCAAGCTTAGAATTGATTAAAGAGTGGTAAACCTGTTTTAAGATGGGAAGAGGACAGCAATATTTGAGGTGGAAACAAGATCTAAGTGAGTAACGTAATGAATTTTTTAAATTATTTACATGCATCTTCCATGATAGATTTTCATCCAAAAGTACACCTAGATATTTGGTAACATTACATTGTTTTATAGAATCACATAAGCAACTAGTTTTATTACAATCTGTTTTATGGAAAATTAAAGGTGGATTAAAAACATTTGACTGGGATAAAGAAAAATTGATAAAGATTGTTTTAGAAACATTTAGACAAAGTTTGTTGCAACTGAACCAAAGTGATATTTTATGTAGATCATCCTGCATTATGTGATGAAGCTCATCTAAAGTGCTTGCACAGTATGACAATGCTGTATCATCAGCAAACGCTGTTAGGCGTCCATTCTAAAGACCACTGCACAAGTCGTTGACAAAAATTAAAAATAAAATAGGACCAAGGACTGATCCTTGGGGAACACCGAAGTTAATACTTTGGATACTACTTTTGCTCTTCTTAATTTTAACCAGCTGCCTCCCAGAAAGATATGACCTAAACCATGAAAGTGGTACACCTCTTATCCCTGCTGATTCTAGTTTGTTCAAGAGCAAAACATGATCGATAGTATCAAATGCCTTACTAATATCTAAGAACAAACCAGCTGTTTTATTATGAGTTGTGCTATTTAAGTTTCCGTAAATATTTGTCAAAAAGTGTTGAAGTGCTAACTCTGTACTAAGGCCTTCTCTAAATCCAAACTGATTTGGTGAAAAAAATTTATTGTTATCTAAAAATCCAGTGAGTCTATTTTTAATAAATTTTTCTAGTAATTTTGAAAGCACAGGAAGCAGTGATATTGGGCGGTAGTTCTCTTCGTTACACTTATCTCCTTTCTTAAATATGGGAACTACTGTGGCAATTTTTAAGATATCAGGGAAACAACCGCTAGCAATACTTAAATTGAACAATTCTGTTAAAACTGGAGTGATCTCGTCACATATATTTTGAATAATAGCTGCAGAAATTAACTCATCACCTGTACTTTTGTGAGGGGAAAGAGTAATAATTAATTTTGCAACTTCATGCTCAGTGATAGGACTAAAAAAAAAAAAAAAAAAGAAAAAAAAAAGGAGTTTAACTAACGCTCGCCGCTGCGTAAACATTGCTGCCGATTCACTGAATTACAGTAAAAACAACAGTAGTTATACTGGATGGCAATGTTCTGCAATCAAACTGGCTTTGGACATAGTACTAAGTGATTCTCATAGATAGCAGCACCACCCAGGTTGCAGTCGGCAAAGTAGTGTCGCTCTAGCAGGAAAGAGGTGGTACAAAGCCCTGTTCTAAATGACCCTGGTGGTGATTTTGGGAAAATATATTTTTTTATTGTAAGAAAAGTACATCCCCACAAGCTGCAAAGAAATATAGGACGCTCGTGACGAGCTGGCTGATCCATGGTAACGTTAAACAACAATGAACGGCGACGTTCCGGAACGTTCCTAGCTCCTGGCACCGTGGCCCGTTTGACGTTCCGGAACGTCCGTAGCAGCGAACGTGTTATTCAGCAAAATTAACATAAAATGCATTAGTTACGTCAAAAACATAATGAAATATTTACATAGTGGTGAAAACAGTTGGAGATTCCTTTTTAACTTTGCACAATTAAATCTACAGTTCTACTGGATGGATTTTGTTAAATAACGTGTCATTGTAAGGCATAAAAGTTTGAGTTGCTTTTTCATTTGATGTGTTATTTATAGCTCTGTAAGTTTCATAGTATAAAAGTTATAAAGTAACTAAGCGAAATTATGTGTTATAACAATAGCCTAACAAGCTTTGTAGATTTTTTTAATACCGATTACAAAACTTTTAATTTGGCTATTTAATATATTTTTTAAAAAGGTAAACATAAATCATTTAACAGATCTCAGCCAATGTTGGTGACAACCAAACAAATCTGTGTTAAAAATAGATTTCTCAATTTAGAGCTCTCTTCAACAGCACTTCCTGTCTGTTGTGGTAAATAAGAATGAATGGACTCGAATATTGTTGTCTCGTGCATCCAAACTATTGTTATAGACCTTTCATTAGTGCTTTCATCTCCGCTTAAAATGTTTATTAAGTTAGTACATAGTGTTTGGTTGGTAGTTGTCAGTTTGCACGCATAAAACACAGTAAAAGTAATGTTTGCACAATGTTCTTCTTGTATTGTTTTATAGACACAAGTCAGCAGCACTTCACAGCTTCAATCCAGTAGCAAGTCTTCCCTGAAATCACCTAAGCAAGAAAATGTAAGAATTTGTTGGAACTAGTTGTATAAATAAGTTGTGTTTGTTGTTTTTACACTAGGCTAATAACAGTACCTTCAATTCTGCTTTGTGGTATTAACCAAGAATTAATCTATATATTAATACGCAATCGGTTTTCTTTTCACAGTCATAACTCAATAACGGCTTGATGGATTTTAAAGTTTGATGTGTCAAATTAAAGGTATTTTAACGTAGATGTGCAAATACGTCTCAGAATATTTAGAAAGGGCACCACTTAAGTACATTTATGGGCTAAAGTTTGGAAGGCGGCGCTCTCTGTTGACATTTTATCAAACTCATTTCCCTTTGTTTACAAATAACATATGGACGTAGTTTGAAATAGTTTTAAGGTTAACCACAGACTGCAGGACTTATTACTTCCAGAGCAAAGCCGGAGTTTTATATTTTTATTTAAACATGTGTTAAACTAAAGAGTGACCTAGCAAGACCAAACAAAAATTGTTTGTAATAGTTGAATTTATTTACAGACCGGGGGTTTCGGTTAGCGTCGATTTTGATTTTATTTACAACAAAACTAGCCTGGGTAGGGTTTCGTTATTAGTGTTAACCTGGATCTGATTACCGAAGAGAGTTGGTACTCTAGCGATATCAACATTTCTCTTCCTTGTAAACAATACTCTTACGGTCTTATACATGGAAAATAAACAGATTTCTTTCTTTCTTTCTTTATTCATTGGATTGACCTTAGACCTTCCTGGTTGCACCACCTTTCCACTATCGGCAATGCCCTCTGCATGAGTTCCAGGCAAGTGTTTCCTCTTATTAGGACAACAATGTCGTCAGCATATCCTTGAGCGTACATACCCTGTGCATTGATCTTGGACAGGAGATCGTCGACCACCAGGTTCCATAGATTTGGTGACAAGACGCCACCCTGTCGACACCCTCTTTGGTCCTTGACCTCTCTCACCGTCCCACACAGAGAAGCTTGCGCTCTCCTACTTTCGAGCATGTTGCCACCCACCTCACAACAGTGCTTTCTACATTTCTTGATACCAGCTTTGATACAATCGAGCGAGTACTAGTGTTGTCAAAAGCTCCTTCTATATCAAGAAATGCAGCTACCGCTATTTCCTTGTTCGAGATAGAATTTTCAATCTTGCAAACCAGCGCATTGCAGGGCTGTTTCGCATGACTTTCCTTTCTGATAGGTGTGTTGGTTCGGGTGTAAAGGACGGCTTACAAGGACCCTATCCTTTATTCGTCCATCCACTAATTTCTCCATGGTCTTCAGGAGAAACGATGTAAGGCTGATTGGTCTAAAAGCCTTAGGCACAGCATATGTGTCCCTTCCAGGCTTCGGTATGAATACCACCCTTGAGGTCCTCCATGCTGTTGGTATAACTCCACTGGCTAAGTTTGTGCATGCTTCATATTCACATAGTTGGCTCTGGCTGAAAGGTCATGCACATTCAGTTTCTTATAGGCTAAGTTGCATGTACTCCATACAACAATATATACAAATTATCGTCAAAAAATATATTTCCCACCACCGTTGTAAATCTGAACCTCTTTTATTTAATAGATATTTGTTGTCCAAACTCTAATTGAGTTCAGCTAAAAATGAGTGGGCTAAGCAATGCATTTTATGATTAAAGATTTATTTGTATGCAGGGTGAAAGGTGACAAGCAATTATTTATAGAGGTTTTATTTCACCACAGTGTGTTATTTATTAGCCAGTATAAACTGCCACAGCTTTTTCTAAAGTAGAGAAATTCACTATGCCTTCATGAAATAATACTAAAGTATCTTTCTTCGAACCTAAAATGTGCTGTAGAACTTGCCTAGTTTAAAATCATTTTTAGGCGTCTTAAAAACCACTTACAACCAATAGAATTCTACAAGATTGTGTTGTGTAAATTATTACTTATGCTCTAGACAAAATGGAGGGAAAAACACAATGAATTGGTGCAGACAATAAAAGCAGCTCGGATGCCACCGGGGCAGGCTCCTGTCATCAAGCTGTCTGACCAGGAGGCCTGCCCGTACTGTGAAAGGTCCTTCGGGCCTAAGGCCTACGACAGACATCTGGAGTGGTGTAAAGAGAAGATGACCAGGATACAACCTAAGAGTCCTGCTAGTCAGAGAGCCAAGGAGCGGCTAGAGGCCAGAACTAAGGTAAAGCAACATGGCGACAAGTACGTTTGGACCTCAATATCTTAAACTCAAGAGGAACAAAATTTGAGCTATCAGGTTTTCAAGTAGGCAAGGTTGAGTTATCAAGGTGTCAAACTGAAAATTGTATATACTAAGGTGTTAAATTCATTCTGACAGTTAATTATGTTATGTCATGACCTTCATAACTCTACTTTCCCATGTTTAACATTTATAACTCGAGCTCTTAAGTTATTTATACATACTGAAGGATAACTTTACTATCATGATCAAACCATTTTTAATGCATAAACAGTACAGTATTAATTATGCAGCAATGGTAATTTAGGATAAACACAAGTCTAACTTTTTGTGCTGTAAAAACCAAAATGATACAAAAAAATTTTGATCTGTTCTTATTATTCAGGTCTTGAATTCTCCTGGAAGACTCCTTGAACTTTTTAAACCATATTTAGTACACATCCTGGTACAATTTGTCAGTTTGTATTCTAACCATGAAATCTTAAAGTGTTCAGTTGTTTCTTTGAACATCAAATATATCAATTGTTGGATAATTTGAATACTTTGGGTCTTCATTCTGTAGAGATAAGAATGATCTGTAGCAAAAGAAAAGAGAGAGAGAGAGAAATCATTTAGTCAGGTCTCTTATTTTATGGTAAATAATATTAACAATTTATCTGCACATTGTTCACAGTATCGAGCCCCTCCAGTTGGCAAAGCCAAGCGTTCAGCATCAAGAGACAAAATACAACCTGAAACTTCTCCCCATGTGATTCACACTCCCCTTACTCAGAGGAAAACCTACAACAAAACAAGTTAGTATCTGAATATATATATATATATATATATATATACTAGCAGAGTACCCATCCTTCGTACGGGGTTGGCATATAAGTATAAAATGCTTATTGCAGTTATATTCAAGCTTTGCGTTTGCAATGGGGGAGGACACAGTTTGGTAAAATTTGGTTGAATAAATTTGTAAAGTGAAATTGATATGAATTGTAAAATATAAGATTGAAAATGTCTAGTACATGTTTATTGAAGGTAACAGTGGATTGTAATAATTATAATGTTGTTTTTTAAATATGTATAAACAAACAAAACATATGATTTGAATGACATAGAAATATAGTCTTTTTGATAATTAACACATTGGGTGCTGATGACGGGAATTCCCGCCATTGCTTAACATTGAAATAAATGCAATTTTCATGTTCAAACATGTCAACGGCACTTTAAGTGTTAAATGCATATATACAGGGTGAATAAAAAGTCAAGACCCCCCCTTCTAATATTTTTCCAAGTAAATATACAGATATATCCTTTTGGTGGTCGAGCAATCTTAGCAGGAAGTTTTACAAAAACTTAAAGAATGGTGAAAACTAGAGGTCGCCATCTCTTCTCTATCCAAAATGGTAGCCCGTCAAATGTTGTGGAAAATCGATGGTAAAATTGTTAATATTGGCTGCCATTTTGGATAGGGAAGAGATAGCGAGCTCTGGTTTTCACCATTCTTCAAGTTTTTTTAACACTTCAAAATGAGGTGTCACTTGATAGGAGGTTTCTATTGAAACATTTTTAGTTGTCCCCCGAATCCCCCATTTTGGGGGGACACTCAAAAATTTTGAATGTAAACCCCCTTCAAGTGACACCTCATTTTGAAGTGTTTACAAAAACTTAAAGAATGGTGAAAACCAGAGCTCGCGATCTCTTCTCTATCCAAAATGGCAGCCAATATTAACAATTTTACCATCGATTTTCCACAACATTTGACGGGCTACCATTTTGGGTAGAGAAGAGATGGCGACCTCTAGTTTTCACCATTCTTTAAGTTTTTGTAAACACTTCAAAATGAGGTGTCACTTAAAGGGGATTTACATTTAAAATATTTGAGTTGCCCCCCAAATCCCCCCTTTTGGGGGGACATTCAAAAATTTCAAAATGATAAAATGAAACTTCCTGCTAAGATTGCTCGACCACCAAAAGGATATCTCTGTATATTTACTTGGAAAAATAATAGAGGGGGGGTCTTGACTTTTTATTCACCCTGTATAAATGATGTGTTTTTACACATTCCGGCCCCTTTGAAATACTAAACCTGGTTTATTTCAATTAATTTCTTGAGTTGGTAAAGGGAACAGTTTTGAAATAGACCTCTTAATAAGTCCATCCTTTGTTTTTAGGGTCGCAACTCGCACAAAATTGTCTTTTCCTGGGTGCACTGCGATCACTCGTCCAATTTTCCAAGTACAAGGTGGTAAATTGTCGTCTTGAATAAGCATTATATCGTCAATTTTTATGTTAGGTCTTGATGTATTCCACCTTGACTTTTTCTGCAGTTGGTTCAGATATTCCTTGCACCATCTGTTCCAAAAATGCTGTGAGAGTTGTTGAACATGTTGCCATCGAAAAAGTCTATTTAATTTCAGATCTTTAAGATTAGGTTCCGGAACACTGGTGAAAGAAGTTCCAATAAGGAAATGAGCAGGTGTAAAGGGCGTAAAATCATTTGGATCGCTGGATAAAGGTGTCAAAGGGCGTGAATTGACACAAGCTTCTATTTGTACTAATAAAGTGTACATTTCATTGAAGGTTAATTTTGTATTTTGAACTACTCGCTTAAGGTGGTATTTCACTAAACACACTCCAGCTTCCCAAAGCCCTCCGAAATTTGGTGAATGAGGGGGGATGAAACTCCAAGTGATCCCTTGTGCAGCCAAACTTGACAGAACTTGGCTGTTGTGATCATCTGAACACCACAAATGTTTAAACTCTTGTAGTTCCTTGTCCGCACCAACAAATGTTTTAGCATTATCCGAGTAAATTTTGTATGGTTGACCTCTGCGAGATACAAACCGCCTTAAGGCAGCAAGGAACGAATTTGTCGTTAAATCCTCAACTAGTTTAAGGTGAATGGCCTTTGTGGTAAAACACACAAACAGAGAAACGTATGCTTTTGTAACCTTAGTCCTTTTGTTGTTGCTTGCATGTATATATACAGGTCCAAAATAATCTAATCCACAATGGGAGAATGGCCTTGAAGGTAGAACTCTGTTTTGAGGTAGTTGACCCTTTAGTTGATTGGTAGCCTTAGGTTTAGTCTTAAAGCATTTTTTCAGGCATTTGTGAACCACACTTCTGACTAAACTTCTGCCATTTAATGGCCAGTAAGTTTCTCGAAGGGAACTTAATAAAAGTTGTGGTCCTGCATGTTATATTTGAACATGTAGATCTTCTGCAATCAACCGTGTTAGCCTATGTTTGTGATCGAGAATAATCGGATATTTATTATCAACACTTAAAGATGAATGTTTTAGTTGACCACCTACTCTGATCAGCCCTTAGTCATCAAGAAAAAGGATTTAGCTGTAAGAGTTTGCTTGGTTTATCAACAGAATTGTTTTCCTTCAATGTTTTCAGTTCATGGGAGAATGATTGAGATGGAGCTAGTTTTAAAAGAGAAAGTCTTGAATCATTTATTTCTGAACATGTAAGGGAACCTGTGAGACAATCTTCGGATTTAGTGTTTTTATAAAACCTTAGATAATATACTACAACTCGTAAAAGTTTCTGAAATGATGAATACTTGCTAAATATATAATGACCATGAGAGACGGCTGTTACATTATTTGCCTTACGCAATTCTAGGAGTAAGTTGACACTTGTATCAAGTCGAAAGTTTGAGCCTTCCTTCCAAAATTGATGTTCTCCAGATAACCATTGTGGTCCATTCCACCAGAGAGATTAAAGAGCCACGAGATATTAGGTCAGCAGGATTTTCAGTGCCAACAACATGATTCCAATGGCTTATGTTTGTTAGGGATTGAATTGTTGAGATTCTTTTTGCAACAAATGTACTGTAATGAGATGATGGGGAATTGATCCAAGAAAGAACAACAGTTGAGTCAGAATAATAATAAATGTAACGTGTTACTATAATTTATAGTAACGGTACAGGACTCATAGGATCGTTAAGGCTCAATATAATCAATCTAGTGTTGCGAGCGACATTGTGAGTTGAATAATAATGATCTTAAATTAATTACTAAGCCAAACCACATCCATATCACAGCCATTTTGATGGTCTAATATTACTAATGCATCTAATTATTAATATAATAAGGAAAAGAACACTGAAAACTTGTGCTCAAAAGTACAATTTACATATTAATCTGAAATAATTTATAGTTCCCTAACCCCTTAATCCCCCTTTTTCTGAAAAGTTAGAACATATTCGTAAATCTCTTAGACTAAGGATAACTTATCAATTCGGCGATGGAGTCCAGCCTTGACCATCGAAGTCCGTCCATACCCTCTTGAATCCGAAACACGACTCTACTCTGTCTCTGCGCTTCCTACCCCTTCCCCAGTTCTCCAGCGATCAGCTGATCTTTACTGTCTGATGCGTCGCCGCTCTGACGCAAGCGTCACAAAGAAAAGGTTCCAGGAACACATACAAGCATTAAAATCAGGATACAAAACGACAATGAAATCAAATTTTGCAGAGCACCTAATCAAAACGTGAATAAAAAAATAAAAAAACTAGAAATTCTAGAATATGAAAAAAATTAAATTAAATTAAATGTCAAAGAAGATTTTCATACACAAATTACAAAAGATTTCCTCAAAATTTACTTAATACCATGAACAACAAAAAAAATTCAATATTTGAAAAAATAAATACCCCCGCCGCAGCAAACCTGCAGACTAAGCGAATTTCCATTTGCCTGATTGGATTTACACTAAAATGTCTCCTTAAAAATATCACATTTATTCCCTTTTTAAATAACATTAGTTTAAAGTACTTAGGTTTGCTGCAACAGGGAGGGTAAAAAGGTGTTTTTTTGTAAAATAATAATAGTTTAGTACAAAATTAATGCATTTTCCAAATTTGATCAAAATATGTTCATAAACAAGCAAAGTACAACAGTTTACTTATTCTCCATAAGAATAATATTGGAATTTTAAATTTACAGATTTTTTGAATTTTCTCCTTAACCATTAGGTGCATAATAACGCTTCAATATATAAATAAACTAGCTGACCCGGCGAACTTCGTATCGCCTAAGTTATAGCATTGACTATATAACACTACTGACACACTACTGGTAGTGTTATATAGTCAATGGTTATAGGTTTCCCCTAAGACAGACCGACCCGGCAGACGTTGTCTTGCCTTTGACTATTTATAATTTAAGTACCGTTACGTTTAATTTTCAAGATGATCTCGTTCGCATCGCTCAATCACGTCCTGGTTGAAGTTCGTTCGCTACGCTCACTCACCTTTGGGTTGGAGCTCGTTCGCTACGCTCACTCACCTTTAGGTTGGAGCTCATTCGCTGCGCTCACTTGCCTTCAGGTTAGCTCGTTCGCTACGCTAACTCGCCTCCAGGTTGGAGCTCGTTCGCTACGCTCACTCACCTTTAGGTTGGAGCTCGTTCGCTGCGCTCACTTGCCTTCAGGTTAGCTCGTTCGCTACGCTAACTCGCCTCCAGGTTGAAGTTCGTTCGCTACGCTAACTCGCCTCCAGGTTGAAGTTCGTTCGCTACGCTCACTCACCTTTTGGTTGCAAATTTGCTGTTGTGATAAATGTAAAAGAAATAATAGTGCTGCACCCTGTTGGTAATCCTTGTAACTTTAATGCTATTGAACATCATAGAACAGAACCAACTTGTTTAATTGAAACAGCTGTTAAGATTCATTAATTCCATTTCTCATAAGGTTAACATGGGAAACTCCAGAGCCACTGGGGCGGAGCCCTTTTAAGAATTTCGAAACGGGAAATAGTTTACTTCCTATTCGCATACCTACA